CCCCGTGGGGGGTACTCTGGGAGTATGGGGTACCGGGCCCTTTGATATGGGCTGTTAGGTCCCTGTATGACCGGTGTCAGAGCCTGGTCCGCATTGCCGGCAGTAAGTCGGGCTTGTTCCCGGTGAGAGTTGGACTCCGCCAAGGTTGCCCTTTGTCACCGATTCTGTTCATAACTTTTAGGGACAGAATTTCTAGGTGCAGCCAAGGTATTGAGGGGATCTGTTTTGGTGGCCTTAGGATTGCGTCTTTGCTTTTTTGCAGACGATGTGGTCCTGTTGGCTTCATCAGATTGTGATCTACAGCTTTTGCTGGAGTGGTTCGCAGCTGAGTGCGATGCGGCCGGGATGAGGATCAGTTCCTACAAATCCGAGGCCATGGTCTTGAGCCGGAAAATGGTAGAGTGCCCTCTCCAGGTCAGGAAGGAGATCCTACCCCAAGTGGAGGAGTTCAAGTATCTTGGGGTCTTGTTCACGAATGAGGGAAAAATGGAACGTGAGATCGATAGGCAGATAGGTGCAGCATCAGCAGTGAAGCAGGCGCTGTACAGTTCTGTCATGGTGAAGAGAGAGCTGAGTCAAAAGGCGAAGCTCTCAATTTACCGATCAAGCTATGTTCCTACCCTCATCTATGGTCATGAGCTTTGGGTTGTGACCAAAAGAACGAGATCTCGGATACAAGCGGCCGAAATGAGTTTTCTCCGCAGGGTGTCTGGGCTCTCCCTTAGAGATAGGGTGAGAAGCTCGATCATCTGGGAGAGACTCAGAGTAGAGCCGCTGCTTCTCCACATCGAGAGGAGCCAGTTGAGGTGGCTCAGCATCTGTTTAGGATGCCTCCCTGGTGAGATGTTCTGGACACGTCCCACTGGGAGGAGACCCAGAGGAAGACCAAGGACACGCTGGAGGGACTATGTTTCTCGGCTGGCCTGGGAACGCCTCGGGATTCCCCTGGAGGAGCTGGACCAAGTGGCTGGGGAGAGGGAAGTCTGGGCCTCCCTATGAAAGCCTCCAGTATACTGCCGCGTACGTCCGTTCACGCGTACGTACGCGTGTACTGTACGCAGAGGGTTCAGTCATTAAATTCCAGCGTACACCCTGAGCAGCTGCAGAGCAGCTTCACAGACAAGGGGTGTTTACCTTCGGGACAAATTGAGGTCGCCGATTGGTCATTTGCTGACACGCCTACTGGATTGACTGACAGGTCGGGGGGAAAAAAACGAGCGCTGGCAGCCTCAGCCGCAGCGGTGTTCTGTGTTTATATGTTGTTAATAAAAAGATCTAAAAAATAAAAACAGGGAGCGCTGGCTCTACAGCCCACACATCAGACCAGCCCACCAGGAAATCTCCAGACCCTCCTGCAGCCATGCTGGACCTGAGTTTAATTTGCTCATGACAAATTCCTTTATTTCTTACCATTTCAGTCATTGCATCAACGGAGGAGGAAGAGATCTCTTGCCTCTTGGCAAAAAAACACAAGAAAAGGCCAGATCAGGGATGAAGAAGGGGAATTTAATACATTGGTGTCGCATACAAAACAGTCCATCGCTGGGCAGTTTATTGAGCGACACCGCGTACGCGTATGCGGTCGTAAAAATTTGAGCTTTGCACGGACATGCCCTTGGGGGTACTCTCGTACCTCTGCATACATACGTGCGTACCTCTGAGTATGGATGTACGCGGCAGTATACTGGGGGCTTTAGGCTGCTACCCCCGCGACCCGACCCTGGATAAGCGGAAGAAAATGGATGGATGGATAATTGAGCAGCATCGAGACAATTTATTAATTTGTTCATTAATTTAATATACTCCCCATCTTTTCCTAACACTTGAATCCTGGTAGCTGAGCAGTTGCTACACTGTTGTATGTTGCCATGGCAACTCAATACACATTTT